CAGGGTCCTCCACATCCTCCAGAGCCGACTCATAGGGCCCCTCGCTCTCTGCGCCCTGCTCGGAGTCGGAACCCTGTCCAGGGTCCTCCACATCCTCCAGAGCCGACTCAGAGGGCCCCTCGCTGTCAGAGTCTGGTGGCAGCTCCATCGGCACCTGCTGGGCCACAACATATAACCATGGAAAATAAGCACTGCCTACACAGCAAATGTTTATGATGTTTATGATAATCAATTCCACCTCCAAATCTAGCTGATGAAATCTGAAATCTCCATCAACAGTAGAGATGTTTCAGAATTGATGCCCACAATAATCCAGAATTCATGAAAACGCGGAAAGCAGATGCAGTATCTACTCAGAATTCCCCATACACTGTAAACCATTATAATAATTTCCAAATGGTACAATCAGAATCAAGTGTTCTAAGGCAGTGGTCTCCAACCTTGGCAACTTTAAGACTTGTGGACTTCAACTCCCAGAGTAAAGCTGGCTGAGGAACTCTAGGAGTTGAAGTCCACAGGTCTTAAAGTTGCCAAGGTTGGAGACCACTGCTCTAAGGTAAAGAAGTAGCTGATGACTATCCCTTGCGACCTAAAATAACTGAACAAAACAAAAACTGAAAATAAAGTAAAGCCTCTTAATGCTTTGACGTATTTTGCATCCCACATTTCATTTTTTTATATCATCTAACACTCCTTAGTTTATAGGGCTGACGTGCTTTTTCAGAGCATATCAACCCCGTGGCCTTTGAATCCTGTGTCCCTTTGCCTTTCTGTGGTTTGAACAGATTACTCTAGATTACTCTAATCTCAGTAATGGAATTCTATTCCTTGCTATCAGTTCTCCAAATCAATCAGACTCAAGTTATTATGAATAGCTCCAATCCCACGCAAGCAACAATCTTCTTCGATGGTAAAGCACAATGATGCTATTTTGTCCCACCTTGGTGGCAATCTTTAGGGGACATTATTATGTGCCCAAAGACAGAGTTTCAGACAACAAAAACTCACCACAGCTTTACAGAACTGCTGAAAGCACGAAAGAATGAAAGAAGCAATTCCAATGGCCCTTGTGATTTGACATCTTCCTATTTTAGTTACATACCCACCTCTACTTCCAAGCTATGTTTTCCCAGATCCTCCTTCATGGTTCTATGAAATGCAGCAGCTCTTTTTAGCATTCAGCATTAAACATGGGAGAGCTCAAACTGAGTAAAAAAAATAATGTCGCAGGTAACAAGGCTACATTCAGCTGGCAGCTCCCCATGAGAGAGTTGTACTTGCATTATCTGGAACACGAATAGTGTTTTCTATACAACCCAGAACCATGTAATATAAGGATCCCAGACCACAAAGAGACTTAACATCTGTGATTATGCAAATGTGTATAACATTTCTGCATAGGTTTTGGTTGAATGAGTGAAGGTTGGACACAATAGAGGTCAGCCTGCATTTGCAGGATCATTTTTTTCCACATTTCCAAGCTTGCTTCCTTTCAAGTGAGCACATGAAGTTAATCTATGGTGGGGATTTTTCAGAAGTATTTCTACAGCATCCTGGCTGAGAGACTAATCTGTCCTCTTGTTATTTCTTCATTGGATTATTGTAATGCACACTGGGCGGAATTAGTACCGAAAATAATTCAGAACTAGGTTCCCTGAAGATGGGCTTGGGGGGGAAAAACCTCTGGTCCCAGTAACCAACCCAGATTGGATCCTGCAACATTATCCTAGGACAATTATAGTCGCCTTCCTTCATGAAAATTCAGAAAAAAATAGCGGGAAAACATCTAAATAAGCCAAGAGAACAGAACATAGAACACTTATTCTAATTGTACTGCTTACCAATTTATTCTTATGTAGAATTTAAACTCTACTCAAGAAGAAAACTGGGGATGCCTTCCTCAAGTGTGCCTTTACCAAAGAAGACATTTTATAGTATGGAAGTCAATCTTTGCTAATTACTATCAAACTGTAGAATTCTTTCAGTTGTGAAAACTATTTGTTGTTTTTTAAAAAATAAAATGCTCATTGGATTTCTGATGATCCTGACACTGCAGAGAGTGTTCAGATGCTGCATTTGTTCACTTTGATTTTACTGGCTTGTTTGTTGCTTGCCTTTTGAAGAAAGGCACATGTTTTAAATAGATCTGCTATTGTCAGCTTACACATGTCATTGGTGCTGACGGGTAAATACCTCTTTATGTGGACAGATGATACAGCTTCCGTTGGGAGGCCTGTAATGTTCCCAGGCAAAGTCTGTAAAGGAATTGGTTCTTTATTTCTCAAGCCCTGTTCTTGAAATGTGGCTCTTTATATCCCAAGCAACATGACTTGTGCATATTCCTTTGAGGTTTTACTGCATTGTCCGCTATTTCCCATTTTCAGTCTCAAATTAAAACATTCA